GGGGCTGGTGCGGGATCGGGCAGTGTTTCGTTCTGCTGTGCATGGGGTCGCTATGAGTCAGAAACGACTCGACGGCACTTAACAACAACAACAACAAAACCACTTGGCAATATCCAAGCTGTCAGTGCCATCAGGATCACTGACAGACCGCAGCTCTGTATGTCTCCTTTTTCAGTGTTTTCATCCAGGTTCTTTTAATAGTTGGAGTTTAGTCCACTTCTGTATCCTTCCTTTCAAAATTCAGCACTTCAGGATTATCTTCTGTATCTGTATTAATTGGATCCCCCTTTCTTTGATGAAAAGGGTCTGTGTAGTTTGTCTGCCTAGTCCACCATCTTACGGGAACCCCCTTAAAAGAACTTTTAAGGAAGGAAGAATGTGAGGAAAAAAGCTGCAAACCTTGGCCAAAAAAAAAAAAAAAAATCATAAACTTAATCTCAAATTAACAAAATATCTCTTTAAATGCATTTTATTGAAATATAATTTATGTACAGTAAAATACACAAAACTAAACTGACATGGGTCAATGCATTTTTTTTGCAGTGTTTCCTCCCCTCCCCCCCACTCCTGCTAACCAACAAAGAAAGTTTCCCTTCATGTATGAACCTTTCGTTGACCCTCCACAACAATGAACTAATACTATATTTGTCCTGTGATTGATTTATTTCACTCAGCATAATGTCCTCCAAGTTCATCCATATTATGCAGTGTTTTGCAGACTCTACATTATTTTTTAGTGCTGCATAGCATTCCATTATGTTTATGCACCATAATTTGGTCATCCACTCTTCCACTATAAATCGTAGAGATAAGTCCCTTGACAGATATGAATTATTGGCAAGTATGAATTTGTTGCTGTCATTTTTGTTATGTGCTTTCTTATGGTGTCGAATTCTTTGTTCCATATAATTTTCTATGCTGAGCTTGTTTTGTTTATGAATTGTGTTATCACTTCCTTCATTGCTGTTGTTTAGTATTTGCTGACTCTTTTTTGGTCCTGTTTTTGATGTGAAAATTTATCATTTTCTTTTCAAATTAACAAAATATCTTATTCCTCTACCTCCCTCAAAATATGCTTAGGAATCAAGTGAGAACTCAACACATGATTTTGCAGAGAAGAAATATTGTAGATAGTGATTGGGCTTTAGGCTTGCTGCTGGGGCAAGGTCTAAATACACAACCATATGTTACTATAGAAACATATAACCACTTCTTATCATGATGATTCTATGGAAAAATGTGTTATAAGTGCCAAAAAATTGATATAAATAATTTTGTAATTTACTATACTGTCAGATGTGCAATGCCTACCTTTTCTCCTTCAGTTAAACTTTTAACTACGTTCAGTTAAATCTAGACTATAACTAGAGAATATCATTGCAAATTGCCAAAAGGATGCAGAGGTGACATCCTCTGACCACCTCTAATTTCACAAGAGGGAGAGAAAACGGCCAACATCAACCCACAACTGATTGTTATGAGGCAGAAGTCAAGACATGCCACCACCCTCCAGCCTTTTTACCAATTCTGAAACAAACTGTTCCTCCCACAGCACTCTCTATTTCTCTTCTGGGTTCGATAATTCATTGCAATAGCCATACATAATTCAAAGACAGTACTCACAATTATGGAGTTTAGTAGGGAAAAAACTGGTTCCAATTCAGGTTCAGGAACACTCAGGATATAATTGTACCAGCAGGATAGGCTCCCTTTGACCATGCCTGAAGGCGCACCTCTCTTTGGCACTTGACCTCTTGGCCTGGCCTCTGCCCTGCTCTGGTAATTGTAACAAAGCTCTTTTAGCTCTGCCCATAGCTCCATGAGAGCTCTGGTAGCACAGTGCCTAAGGCACTTGACTGCTAACCAGAAGGCTGGCGGTTCAAACTCACCAGCCACTCCTCAAAAGGAAGGTTGGGCAATCTACTTCTGTAGTGATACTGCCTCGGAAACCCAAGGAGGGGTCACTATGAGTCGGGCCCGACTTGATGGCACATAACAACAACAACATAACTCCATGGGCCACCAAGCCACTGCTCTGTCTTGTGCTGGTCTCTTAGTTCTGCTGCCTCTGCTGCTGCCATCTCTCTGCCATCATCTCAGTGCACAGATCTTGAATCCAAGAGCACTCTACTCTTGCCTCTTCTCTGTCTTGACAGTAGTGAGATCCCCCTTCTCTGTCTCTGGGATGGCTCATTTTAAGCCTAGCAAAAGGACAAAACTGACCAATCCCCAAGTTAGGATTCCATACACCTTATTTCCATGGTCCCACTGCCACAAGGGAGCCATGTGCCTTATTTACATTACTAACGAGCTACAAGAATCTCACATTTACCTGGTTCCACCCAGTCACCTGGTGGGCACCATGAAGACCAGGGCTTGAAGAACCATACTAAGTAATTCCTTGTACCACACAAATGATCAATCAAGAGCTGAGAGGCAAGTACTCATATGGCAGTATAAAGTGTATAAATTGCCAGAGGTGATTCCAAGGCAAGAATAAAGATAAACATCAAGGCAGCTGGGTCACTTCATTTGAGAACAAACATTTCTACATACCTAGTGACCTCTGGAGGGGCCCTCTGGTAGCATAGTGCCTAAGGCACTTGACTGCTAACCAGAAGGCTGGCGGTTCAAACCCACCAGCCACTCCTCGGAAGGAAGGTTGGGCAATCTTAC